TGGGACTTGAATTTTGAGCTCCATATGAGAAGAGCAATTCTTGTCTGCTTCACTTTTTCTTTGAGCCTGAAGAAAGGTGTACCAGTCTGAGGTATGGACCAGGCTTTCTGCACCACCTCAGCAAATCCTTCTTTAGAAGCCCATCATCTATCAAAGGCAAATCTCCTCTTGCATCTAGATTCTTGAGAACCAGCATTAAGAATAAGGAGAGAGTGATCTGAGGCTGTTCTTATCACATTAAGCACTTTAGCATTGGGGTGTGAACTGAGCCATTCATAAGAAGCAAAAGCTCTGTCTAGCTTCTCTTCAACATATCCCTCAGCATCTCTGTTGTTCCCCCATGTAAACTGGTGTCCTTCCATGCCAATCTCTTCCATTTCCATGTTGGAGCTGAACTTGTTGAAGCCATCAAAACTTCTATCTTGTCTAGGTCTGCCCCCTTTCTTTTCTTCCTTGGCACAGATAGAGTTCCAATCTCCTATAGTAAACCACACTTCACCCCAGGAGTATCTGTCTTCTTCCAAAATCATCCACTGAGCTTCCCTGGTTCTTCTATCAGCACTCATATAAACAAACACACCCCAGCCTTGATCTTCATGATTCAGAGAGTAGTTGACTGCAATGTAGAATTCCTTAGAAACCACATTGATAATATCCACCTCTTGATGCCAAAGCAATAGAAGTCCTCCACTTTGCCCTCTAGGATCCACAATATAGTGTCTGTCTGTAAATTCCAGCTTCCTACTAACAGATTTAACATAAGCACCATTATTTTTAGTTTCAGAGAGAAAGAAAAACCTTGGGTGGTGAGTCCTAAAAGACTCTTTGATTTGGGAAATTGTAGAGGGCACACCCAGCCCTCTACAATTCCACACCGCAGCTAGCATTGATGGGTTGGGTGCCACTCTAGGCTGGCATCCCCCACCTTGTTGTTTGAGCCTTTAATCTTTTTCCCAGACTGTTCTGTGTCCTCTACTTCCAGAGAGTTAAGATCATCTCTGTCTCTTTTTTATCCTGAGGATTGCTCAGGAGAGGGACTTAGGATCATTTGTCTCTGCAGCCTCCCTTCCTTAGTTGCAAACCTTTTCCAGGAGCTCATTCTAGTCACTATATTCCCTTTCTGCATTGAAGTACTCTTCTGGGAAGTCATGTTTGAAATGGAAGGGAGAGTGAGCTCAATCTCCATTAGCTTGTCTTTCTCTTGAATAGGAATAGCAGAGGTGACTATCTCCATGGAGTGCTGTGGATTAGAAATAGCCAGATCAGATAATACATATTGAGTTGAAGGATGCAGATCAGGAACCTCTGAGGATGAGTCTGTTGTATCTTGTGGGCATGTCTCCTGTAAACTTTTCATGGTTGTTATAGGAATAGGGCTGTCTGGAATTTGCCCAGTTGAACTTGATGGATTATTTGAATTGACTGTTGCAGGAGCTTGACTAGTAAATGGAGATTGCCTTGAACTTGAAGGACTTGCATAAGTCCCAGGTATGATATCTTCAGTCTTGAGCCACTCTCCATATTGCCCCTCCTTCAGAACTTGATTTTTAATGTCATCAAGCCTTTTCTTGCAGCCTTTGTCCAGATGTCCAATGACTCCGCAGTAATAGCAAAGACTCACAAGCCTCTCATATTGGAACCCCACTGTAGCAATTTGATCCCCAGCCTAATGTTTGTGCATCTTGGTAGTGGTTCGCCGAGGTTGATAGAAACCAGAAGCTTTAACATCTTACCGCCATGAGGGCTTATGTTTTGAACTAGAACATTCTTAACATCCGGGAATGCCTTCCCTATTTTAAGCCCAACTTCGGCACTAAGCCAGTCAAGGGGAAGGTTAGTTACCTGGGCCCAGAGCAGCAGCTCATTGAATCCCTTGTGAAGGCTATTTAACCCTTGCTCCCATTCACGGAGAATCAAATATTGGTTATCATAAATCCAGTTGGTACCGCTTGCAACTTTTTCCAAATCTTCCCTATTTTGGAAGATGAACTGAAAGTAATTTGGTTCCAGCTCCTTAATATCCATTGGTTTCTGCAGCTTCCATATATTGTTCATCGTACGCTTTATACCAATCCAGCTAGCACGGCGGTCACCCACCACCTTCTCGAACAGACTACGTCGGCATTCTTCTGAACTTCGCCGGATATCGACTTGCTCAATGTCTGTGACTAAAGCCTCTGTTGCCGACAAGGAAAAGCCTTTGAGGCGGTTAGCTAGGTCTTCCTCGTTACCCTTATCTTGGGGTTCACCCATGACAAAACCACTGCAATTTCCCCAAATTCGTCAGAGATCTCCGATGAAACACATAAATTACAAAGGACTCACAGAAATTCAACACAGCAAATGATAAATTTGGAACGGTCCCAAACGGGATAATCGCCAGAATTGGCAGCTCCCAAACGAGAGAATCAAAGATGTTGTTATATAAACATTTGGTATTTAATTTAACTAATTGTAATTTTCAACTTATATATGAACTTCTAAACAAGATATTATACTTAAAAATAAATAACAAAAAATATAACATTTCAAAACATAAGCTTTTATACCTTAAAAAACAATATATAAAAAAGATATATTCATAGCATAATCAAGCAAGGACGGATCCAAAATTTGAGAGCGCAGGTAAATATTAGTAGAGCTACTCGGCCAAAAAATATCTTGTTAATATTACCAGAAAAATAATTTATTTAATATAAATTATTAAGTAAAAAATTTTAATACTAAATATTCCATAATATACATAATAATTTTTTAAGAAGGTTTCGATTGACTGATCAAATGGCTAAAGTGCACATTATTGTTTTTCAACGAACATTAATATAACATATTAAATAACATCATAAATATTAAAAATATTGTAATAATATAAATTTTTTGATAAATTTTAAAATATTACAATAAAAGATATACTTTTATAATAATAAAAAATAAATTACTTCAACAATTTAGGTTAATTCGATGTACAATTATATCTACTAAATTTAGTTTTCAAAACACATACTTTATAAGTGCCCATATAAAGTAGGACACTTTATATATCAACATGTTGCACTTTATAAAACATTTCATTGCATTTTATAAATCAACCTGTTGCACTTTATCAACACGCTCTACGATTAACTTCAACATCCCCCTCCAAAATACAACATAACATAATCTAATAAACATATATATATATCATACTTTAACATCAATAACAATTATATATACACATAAACACAACCATGCTAACGTATCAAAATTACACTAGTACACTCTATACATCAACATGATGCACTTTAAAAAACAACACATTGCACTTTCGAAACAACACATTGCACTTTATCATGACTATCCGATTGCACAATAAAGATCAAATCTGACCAAAATCAATTTTATTTTCAACAAAAAATATATAGAAATAATAAATAAAATTATTAACATAAATATAATTTTAATATAATATGATAATTCTGCTAATCGAACCAAATAACCAAAATAATTATGTTCATTTTCAATTTGATTTGGGACAAAAAATTGATGGGTTCAACATGCACAATACAGATTGACACCTTGCACCAGAGTGAATTGTACCCTAATAATTGTTAGATTGAACCGTATATTTCTTTTACATATATACAATTTAGTTAAAAAATAATATGAAATGTAAAAAAAATATTAAACACAAATCATGTTTTTTTTTTAATAAATAATACAATATATGTAAACTCTTGAGGGAGAGCTTTGCGGTCCTTGTGGTCCTACCCGACTCGATTCCGGATTAGTCGGTTCCCCTGTGGATCCGGAAACCGGAAGGTCCCTGTACCAAAAAAAATAATACAATATATGTAAGTTATTTCAATTATTTATGTTAACCGAAAAAATTTTATATCGAAACCAAACTTTTCATTTCGAATCTTAAAATTTCGGTTCAATTATCATTTTTTACATTAAAAAACTTGAATATGTCAATTAGTTTTTGACGTTGTATTTGATTTTATTTAGATAACCAAAAAAAAAAAAAAAAACTATTATTATTATATATTATTATTATGTAAAAATATTATTACATTTTATCGTGCATGTTTCCAAACAATATTGTGCATCTTATTAATAATTATTGTGCATTTATTTAACTTTTATTATATTACATATTGGCCCTAAGTACTAAATTGTAAATATATTAAAAGTTAAAAATAGCATATATGTCCCCTCAAGTGCCCAGGGTTTTCAGGTGGGAAGGATGAAATCTTTGCCTTCACATGCACAGATTTATGAGAACTCCAAGATTCCTTGAAACATTCTTGCCAACTGAAAAAGTGAAAAAGGGCTCAAATTCATTTAACAGTAGCGCATGACAGTTTCTAAACTAGAAACATTCTCAGCAAGCTTCAACTGTTAAGCTAAAAGCTCATAAACATCTAATCCAGCTTCAACTGCCACACATATCAAAATTCAGGAATTTCTCAATGATTTGATAAAAAAAAAAATAACGACATTAGAGCTGAAACGAAATAACGAACCAGAAAGCAGCACCTTCCCGGGGGAGCTTTAGCTCAACACATTTCGGGCACCCTAAAGATGTGACAATTTACAACAATCTAATGATTAATATACATAGTTTCAAACTTAATTATCATACACTAAAAATATCCTAAATAAAAGTATAAAATTTCATAATAAAAATAAATATTTATTTATTTTATTAGGTTGTCAAATTTAATTCCCCTTTCTTGAAGGTGGATGAGAGTTACTAAATTCAACAAATTCATCATTCCTCTGTAAAATTTGATAATTTTGTGCCAAGGCTATCATTTTCAGCTCAAAAGTCCGATGTCTGGCTTATACCTTTTTGCATTTGTTTCACACTTAAAGGCAACTTTAGTATCACATTTGGCCACATTACGGAAAAAAAAAAAGGTAGAAAAATAGAAGAAGAAAAGGAATATCAAGCGAAGTCGAATATAGGAAACCCGACTAAAATCCTAATGGCATTTCTCACTGTTGAGCCACTCGAGTCAAGGGATCAACTTCGATAGAAAAGCTTTCAACCGGTCATCAAGAACTCCATTTCCTGCAATCTCTAATTGGACCAAATTCAACTCCTTGAAAAGTAGGTACGCGTCCCAGTAGTCCTTCACCTGAATATCTCCTTCGACAAGTTTTTCGAAATTACAGTCAACTCCAACTGCGTGATTGAAGGGAGACGAACACAAATATCTTCTCGTGTCGATAGAGTGTGCACCGATCTCGTTGTGTGATATGTCTAGTACTTTCAGATACTTTAGCATTTTCAAGGGCTCTAAAGCCGTAAAACTGCAGATTCTGTTGTGACTAAGCTTCAAGCAGAATAACAGCTGCAGAGCCTCCAAACCTGCTCGGAAATTTCAAGTCGAGACAAATATATGGGAAAGTAAAAATGCAATCAGAAAGCAAATACACTAGTCAGAATAAAATTTTGACATTTGGCGTTTGAAATATTTACAGTAAATCTTCGCATTTTCAACAATCATTAGTTCCCTAAACAAATAATACACTGAAATATTGCCAAAAGTTAGATCGCAAAACCAATCTGATTATGCTCGGAAAGTTACAGAAACTCGATTAATCTGGATCATGCAAACAGTATCAGAAAATAATTTCGTCAATATATATATATATATATATATAGAAGAGAACTGTGTAACATAGCATACCTTCAATTGAACGGAGCTTGTTGTGGCTGAGATCTAACATTTGAACCCACAGTAAGTGCTCCATACTGCCGATTCGTGATAATGAGAGACCATTCAGCCGAGCGCACAAATAAGGCTTTACACTTGATAAAAGTGGCTCGTGGTATTGATAGCAGCGCTTCAGTAAAGAGGCTTTATCTGATGTCAGCTATAGAATAATAATTAACCAAATTTATAATTAGTACAAAAGGTTGTTGTTTCTTTTAGAAGAAATATGAGGCGAAGTGGTGTCCCATAAAGGAAACAACACCAAAGGAAATAAATAGACTATATACAGTATTTCAAGCAACAAAGATATACGAAAAAAGAAAAAGAACCGTTTATAAGCATAGTGAATTGCAATCTGGGCAGTTCGGGCAGAGAGTATTAAGTAAAGACATCCAGAGATTATTCTCAGAGTCAAGAATGTTGTCACTAATGAGATTTCTCAAACCATATAATAGACTTCTTTAATCTTCCTTAAAATGTTAAAAAAGTTAGAAGAGGTAATCATGTCGGCCAATGGCCATTATCATTCTTCTGTCCATAATTATTTGAGGCCTTTTCGTGTTGCACATGGCATTCACAACTCATTTACAAATTAGTTTCCATTGTTTCTGAACATAAATAATCCTAATTATTAGAAACTGTTAGTGCCTTAAGGTGATAGCAACAAACTGGACATTTGATTTACTGAGACTAAAGAGTTACGACTTCTAACAAACAATCAAATTTCGAATAACCTAAAGCTAAATAAGACTGAGGATATATAATGTACGCTAAAGCCACTCATTGTCAAACATCACTGTCAAGATTGTAACAGGATCCTACATATCTCGTGTTATCGCTCATAGTTATTAATTTAATTCCAGATTAACTGGGCAACAATACCCATTGAACATTTAGGGCACCCTAACAATGGGTGACATGACCGATGCTTCTGTTGTGTTCCCAGAAAGAAGACCAAGCAAGAGTTATTTACCTGCTTGAATAAAACCAAACTGTACTCATCCTCATAGTAACAAATATGTGCAGGATCCAATTTCATTAAATCTTGATAAAGAGCGAGAATATCTTCATAACGGGTCTGGATTCCATCATCAGTGCTTCTGAATAACAC